CCGCAATTCGTTTAGTTAACACGGACGTGATCAAGGAGACGACTCCTGAAGATAATGCCTAATAGCCTAATGATAAATACTATGGCAAAGGAATTCGGACAAGGGGCGTCCAATTAAGTCCTACTGAAAGCAGGATCAAGTTCGAAAATGGGGTCAATCTACATTCATACAGCGAAACGAGACGGCGACCATATTCTGGTCCACACCATCATGTTCTTAATATCTTCGATCAAATATTTGTCTTTACACATCACTTTTTTACACAAAATTTACACACTACTTGAATAGGTACCGATTTAAATCAAGCTCCAGATATGGCATCCTCTGGTTGAGGTCCTAGAAATTTACCCAATGGCTAGTCTGAGCCTTCCTGTCTTTTGATAGCCTATCTTACATTATCAGACTCTCCGAACTTGGATTTATGACTTTTTGTTTTTGTATAAGTGCTTTCCCTCTAAAAGAAACATTTTTATGGCTTTTGTAATTTTTTGCCATATTCTTGTGAGCATAAAGGGCAAAATCTATTTAACACTATTATCTTTTTTTTCTTCGTCCATTTTCTGCATTTTTCAGTTGGTCGATCTTTGCCTATATCTAGATTGGCTGCTTTCAAACATCGAGTTCTCCCACGTCTTCGTCGTGGCCTAGATCAACGTGTGCTGATCTATGTTCCCGAGTTTTACGATCTCGAGGAGCTACGATTACTTTTTAAAACTGAATCTTTGGATTTCTGCTATATCAATGAGTAATAAATAACAAACTATACCGATCAGATATATATGAAGCAAGCACTTGTGTACATTTTATAGAACTGTTTTAATCACCTTATTTTCCAATGATTGTCTGATAATTATTGATTTAAAATTCCTTATCTACATCAAAATTTTATTCGTTTCCGGATTTGCTATTGAACTATACGTATATTGCATCATAATATATGTGAATATTTCTATCATGGTCTGAATCCTCAGGTTGAACAGCCATTTTGCCCAATTGTTTGACCATTATGCAGAATCTTTTGCTTCAGAAATTGAATTTTATTATTTTTCTATCCGAAACTAAATTACTTACCCAGGAGATCAGATGAATGTAATTAATTTCTTCCCACATTTTTGATTCTATCTATCTAAATGAAACTTATTTTGTCTACATGAGTGTATTATAGGGGGGAGGAACATTTAAAATATTCTATAAATGTAGTTGTGCTTGCATAGCTACGGCGTCAAATATGCATCCAGCGATTACTCGCCTTTTTCATTTTTCATAGAATTTGTGAGCTTTCTTGCTTACAAAACTCTAAATATTCTACCATTAAATTTAAATGTCTTCTTGCACACATTTTTAGGGTGCGTTTAGGCAAAACTCAAGTAAAGTATTTTAATCAAAGGTATGAAGACCAAGATGGTGTGGCCTTTTGTGTAGTTGCAGTATCCTTTCGTTGTATAGAAGTTATT